TGACTCTTGTCTCCAAGAAGAAACTATACATGTTGCACATGATTATATTCATGAGAATAACATGAAAGATAATTGTAATGTCGAATTAGATAATGAAAAACATGAAAAAAAGGGAACAGACGAACTGAAAACACAAAATGAATCAAATGAAGAAGAAGTCATTGATGATGATGATGATGATGATGATGATAAGTTACGAGGATTACCACTTGACTCTTGTTTCCAACCTGTGAATATTGGACAACAATTACTGGATGAAGAATTTGCTGATATTTTATGTATTGCTCCATGTGAAGGATCAACTCCTTTACGCATTTTATTTAATCTATGGACTGAAGCTCAAACATTTCCTACCCTTTTTCCACAAGGACTTAATACATATCATGAAAAACGTGAACAGAAAATTTCACTAAAAAGGTATTTCCATAATCGATTAATGAATGTAGATAACAGATTTGCACAAAATACAGACTATATATTTTATGCACAATACATTAGTGAAATTGAAAATGTAATGTCTAGTATATCTATAGCTTTACGAACAGGTGGTCAAAAGACCAGTGACGATAATGAAGTGACAGCCTCTATGCTAAAAAATGATAAAGAACTGAGTAAAATTTTGAAGTCTGATAGAGGTTATAGATTCCTATCATCTGTAAGAGGAACACCTCCATATTGGCAAAGAGTTCAAAAAGACTTACTAGCAATGATTCGTCAGCTGGGAATACCAACTTTTTTTGTCAGCTTTTCAAGCGCTGATTTAAGATGGCCAGAGGTAGTAAATACAATTTTAAAACAACAAGGTGATACTACAAGGACTGCGGAAACGATGGATTGGAATGAGAAATGTGCTGTATTAAGAAGTAATCCTGTCACTGCTGCTCGAATGTTTGACAAAAGATTTCATCTGTTTGTTACAAATGTTATTAAATCTAAAGCAAAACCAATAGGTAAAGTAGTAGACTCTTTTTTTAGAGTGGAATTTCAATTACGTGGAAGTCCTCATATTCATGGGCTTGTGTGGATTGATAATGCTCCTAAACTAGACACAGATAGTGATGAAAGAGTTAAAGAATTTGTTGATAAATACATTACATGCCATTTACCAACAATAGAAGAGGATGAAGAGTTGAAGGATATACTAGAACATGTGCAAATGCATAGCAAAAAACATTCTAAATCTTGTAAAAAGGGGCGCAAAGAATGTCGCTTTAATTTTCCTAGACCTCCTTCACAAAGAACATTTGTGGTTAGACCCAAACCTGATAAAGACCCATTTGTTATGGCTAAAGCTAGGGATCTAGTATCATCAGTGAAAGACAAATTGAGGGATGCTACAAGTGAATACAATAGTATAGAAGAATTGTTTGAAGAGCTTAATACATCACAGGAGGAATTTGAAAAGGCATATTGTATGGTTGCAGAAAGGGTATCTATTGTACATAGTCGAAATTTAAAATCTGTATGGGTAAATCAATATAATAAACATGTATTGCGAGCTTGGAATGCTAATTGTGATATACAGTTTGTATGTGATGTATATGCTTGTGTTCAGTATATAGTAGCCTACATTTCTAAATCAGAACGTGAATTGGGCAAGGTTTTGCAAGCTGTTCATGATGAAATATCAACTGGTGGTAACGATACTAAAACATGTATGAAGGAACTTGGCCATGCTTTTATTAAAAATAGAGAAGTTTCCGCTCAAGAAGCTGTGTATAGAGTGTGTGGTCTCAGTTTAAAGGAATTTTCACGAAAAGTAGAATTCATACCGGTGGGTGAAAATCCAACAAGATTAAGTTTACCATTGTCAGTCATTAAGTCAAAATCAGATGATGATGATAATATTTGGGCCAAGAACAAGGTAGACAGGTACAAGAATCGTCCTCATAATGAAGTGTTTGAATTCATGTGTTTAGCAACTTTCTGTTCTGATTACAGGGTTTTGTATGGCAAGCAAGTAAAACAACAGGAGAATATTCATAAATTGTTGAATGGACATGGTTTTGTGCAGAAAAGAACAAAGAAAAATGCTATCATTAGATATCCAAGATTTAACGTTGAGACAAATACTGAAAGGTTTTATCAAAGTATGCTTCAACTTTTTTTACCTTATAGAACAAATGATGAACTAAAGCCATCAGAGTTTAAGTGTTATCAACAGTTCTTTTTTCTTGGAAGTGTGCAACTTAATTTGAAAGTTAAAAAGGTTCGGACAATAGTTACCAGAAATAAAGCTTTCTATGAAAAAGATGCAGAATCATTTGATAAAGCAAAGGAATTTCTTGAGAATATGCCAGAAGATATTGATGCTTGGTCAACCTTGTGTCCAGAATCAGAGAAAAGTAGGCTTGAGGAAGAGAATGACAAAGACTCTGTTACATATGAGAGTGATAGCGAGTTTGCGGTACCTGACTTATGTACGAAGGATAGTAGTGATTCACACCATAGGATTGAATTACGTGAACCTAAATTGTCAGAGCAAGATAAAATGTCGTTATTTAGATCCATGAACACTAAACAATGTGAAGTCTTTTACAAAGTGAGAGAATGGTGTATTAATAAGACTTTAGACTCTAATATTGACCCTTTTTTTGTGTTCCTTACTGGAGGAGCTGGTGTTGGAAAATCACATCTTGTACGATGTATATATACAGAAGCAACACGGATATTAGCAAAAACTTCTGAAAACCCTGATTCCATTGTAGTTTTGAAAGTTGCACCAACTGGGGTTGCAGCCTTTAACATTCAAGGTCTAACAATCCATAGTGCTTTCTCACTCCCCCTTAGAATGCGTTTACCTTATGTGCCACTGACTGAAGAGAGACTTAGTTCATTGCGAAACACCTTATCTCAAGTTCAAATTGTTATAATTGATGAAATTTCTATGGTGGATCAGAATATCTTTGGTTATATTCATGGACGTCTTCAACAAATAAAAGGAAAGTCTAGTGACTTTGGTCATGTAAGTGTTATTGCTGTGGGAGACTTTTATCAATTGGCTCCAGTGGGAGGCACACCTTTGTATAATGAATCTGTTAATTCAAGGTTATGGCATGACAATTTCAAGATAATAGAACTAGACGAGATAATGCGTCAGAAAGATGATGCTGAGTTTGCAAATTTACTGAACAAACTACGCATAAGAAAAAGAAATGAAGATGTAGATGAACATGATCTATCACTTTTAAGAAGTTGTGAGGCTCATGAATATACAGATGATGTTTTACATATCTATCCTAAAAATAAAGATGTTGATGCACACAATATACATATGCTGTCTAAAAATTTCAAAGAAATCAAAGTTACTAAAGCAGTCGATTCCAACCCTAAATCTAATTCTATAAAGAAAAACAAAAAAGAAAAAGTAACATTACCTGAAAAATTATCCATTGCAGTTGGGGTGAGGGTTATCCTTACACGAAACATAGATACATCAGATGGTTTAAGTAATGGCCAAATTGGAACTGTAAAGGCATTTATTGAAGGAACTGAACCATTTACACTAAAGTATATATATGTGCAGTTTGATAATGATAAAGTTGGTGCCAAATTTAGAAAGACTAATAAGATATTTAAAGATTATGAAAATTCTGTTCGTATTGCAAAAGTAGAGGAGGTTCATGATAATTTTAAACGCTTGCAATTTCCATTAAAGCTAGCCTATGCTTCAACAATTCACAAAGTTCAAGGTTTAAGTTTGGAAAAGTGTTTATTTAATATGAAAGGTATCTTTTGTGCTGGCCAAGCTTATGTGGGATTGAGCCGTTTAACATCTTTAAAAGGACTGACTTTGAAAGAGTTTGATATTAAATACATATATTGTAATGAGAGTATTTCTGAGTCCATTGCACAAATGCCTCACTTTTTGGAGACACAATGTACACCAAGCTTATCTTATGAGCACATGATAATATTACATAATGTTCAAGGTTTAAGATTACACTTTGAAGACCTTTGTAAACAGATTCAAAATATGAATGCAGACTTTATTTGCCTCACAGAAACCTGGCTGAAAGATGAGTATTTTCCTTTGGATGTAGAATTATCAGATTACAAAAGTTACCATCAACCAAGATACATGGCTTATAATAATTCAAGTGAAATAACTACCAAACTTGGGCAACAATCACATGGTGGAGTGTCATGTTACGGCAAAATTACCAAATCATTTTCTAGATTACATTTAACAAATAACATTGAAAATATTGCTATTCACATAGTTTCAAAGTTTTCAGTCCTACTTGTTGTAATATATAGACCAGCCTCATACAAAATGTCTGTGTTTCTTATGCATTTGAAGAATTTGGTAGAAACAGCTCATAATCATAGTCAAAAAGTTATCATTATGGGAGATTTTAATGAAAATTATACACAAAGTTCTTGTTTAGTAAAGTTTTTCATTGGTTATGGATATAAGCAATTTGTAACCAATTCAACAACAGAAAGAGGAACTATAATAGACCATGTTTACATAAGAGGGTTTGATTTGCAAGATATTTGTATTGTACCAACTTACTATAGTTATCATGAATGTATTAAGATCCTAGTTTAGCATTACTGCATATTTGTCAACAAGGAAAGTAATACAAGCTTTATTTTTAGTGCTAAATTGTATCAGGCAATGTGAACACTCCCTGTACCGTGGAGGAGTCCAAGTCTACCCCCCTCAAGTTCTTGATTGAGAAGCACGCTGGTGGTGTAGAGGGCGGTTGGGATAACCTCTTAACTGTCAACTCAGGGGGTTCTTCTACTTCTATGATCCCTAAAGAGTGAGTATTAATGCCCCTCTGCACTAGATGGCCAGGAGGGATTAGAGGGATTAGTGTGGTCACTGACAGGTGGTTATCTCATCAACTCAGCTCTTAATTAACATAAGAAAAAGAGGATCATGAGAGACCAATGGGCACCGCTTAGGTATGCGTAATCCTGTCAACAAGCATCATTGCAGGAACTTTGAGAATTTTCAATCTTTGTATCTTCCCCATGCTAACTTTCAGATCATCTGCAGAAGGGGAGCTCTGTGGTTTTGCTGGCTTCAGATGTGAACGCAACCAGGCCACCAAACTCTTCAACATCTCAGGCAATGTGAACACTCCCTGTACCGTGGAGGAATCCAAGTCTACTCCCCTCAAGTTCTTCATTGAGAAGCACGCTGGTGGTGTAGAGGGGGGTTGGAATGACCTCTTAACTGTCAACCCAGGGGGTTCATCTACTTCTATGATCCCTAAAGGGTGAGTATTAATGCCCCTCTGCACTAGATCGGGCGAGGAGGGATTAGAGGGATTAGTGTGGTCACTGACAGGTGGTTATCTCATCAACTCAGCTCTTAATTAACATAACAAAAAGAGGATCATGAGGGACCAATGGGCACCGCTTAGGTATGCATAATCCTGTCAACAAGCATCTTTGCAGGAACTTTGAGAATTTTCAATCTCTGTTTCTTCCCCATTATGGTAACTTTCAGATCATCTGCAGAAGGGGAGCTCTGTGGTTCGCTGGCTTCAGATGTGAACGCAACCAGGCCACCTAACTCTTCAACAACTCAGGCAATGTGAACACTCCCTGTACCGTGGAGGAGTCCAAGTCTACTCCCCTCAAGTTCTTCATTGAGAAGCACGCTGGTGGTGTAGAGGGGGGTTGGAATGACCTCTTATCTGTCAACCCAGGGGGTTCATCTACTTCTATGATCCCTAAAGAGTGAGTATTAATGCCCCTCTGCACTAGATCGGGCGAGGAGGGATTAGAGGGATTAGTGTGGTCACTGATAGGTGGTTATCTCATCAACTCAGCTCTTTATTAACATTAGAAAAAGAGGATCATGAGGGACCAATGGGCACCGCTTAGGTATGCATAATCCTGTCAACAAGCATCTTTGCAGGAACTTTGAGAATTTTCAATCTCTGTTTCTTCCCCATTATGCTAACTTTCAGATCATCTGCAGAAGGGGAGCTCTGTGGTTCGCTGGCTTCAGATGTGAACGCAACCAGGCCACCAAACTCTTCAACTTCTCAGGCAATGTGAACACTCCCTGTACCGTGGAGGAGTCCAAGTCTACTCCCCTCAAGTTCTTCATTGAGAAGCACGCTGGTGGTGTAGAGGGGGGTTGGAATGACCTCTTAACTGTCAACCCAGGGGGTTCATCTACTTCTATGATCCCTAAAGAGTGAGTATTAATGCCCCTCTGCACTAGATGGCCAGGAGGGATTAGAGGGATTAATGTGGTCACTGATAGGTGGTTATCTCATCAACTCAGCTCTTTATTAACATTAGAAAAAGAGGATCATGAGGGACCAATGGGCACCGCTTAGGTATGCATAATCCTGTCAACAAGCATCTTTGCAGGAACTTTGAGAATTTTCAATCTCTGTTTCTTCCCCATTATGCTAACTTTCAGATCATCTGCAGAAGGGGAGCTCTGTGGTTCGCTGGCTTCAGATGTGAACGCAACCAGGCCACCAAACTCTTCAACAACTCAGGCAATGTGAACACTCCCTGTACCGTGGAGGAGTCCAAGTCTACTCCCCTCAAGTTCTTCATTGAGAAGCACGCTGGTGGTGTAGAGGGGGGTTGGAATGACCTCTTAACTGTCAACCCAGGGGGTTCATCTACTTCTATGATCCCTAAAGAGTGAGTATTAATGCCCCTCTGCACTAGATGGCCAGGAGGGATTAGAGGGATTAATGTGGTCACTGATAGGTGGTTATCTCATCAACTCAGCTCTTTATTAACATTAGAAAAAGAGGATCATGAGGGACCAATGGGCACCGCTTAGGTATGCATAATCCTGTCAACAAGCATCTTTGCAGGAACTTTGAGAATTTTCAATCTCTGTTTCTTCCCCATTATGCTAACTTTCAGATCATCTGCAGAAGGGGAGCTCTGTGGTTTCGCTGGCTTCAGATGTGAACGCAACCAGGCCACCAAACTCTTCAACTTCTCAGGCAATGTGAACACTCCCTGTACCGTGGAGGAGTCCAAGTCTACTCCCCTCAAGTTCTTCATTGAGAAGCACGCTGGTGGTGTAGAGGGGGGTTGGAATGACCTCTTAACTGTCAACCCAGGGGGTTCATCTACTTCTATGATCCCTAAAGAGTGAGTATTAATGCCCCTCTGCACTAGATGGCCAGGAGGGATTAGAGGGATTAATGTGGTCACTGATAGGTGGTTATCTCATCAACTCAGCTCTTTATTAACATTAGAAAAAGAGGATCATGAGGGACCAATGGGCACCGCTTAGGTATGTATAATCCTGTCAACAAGCATCTTTGCAGGAACTTTGAGAATTTTCAATCTCTGTTTCTTCCCCATTATGCTAACTTTTAGATCATCTGCAGAAGGGGAGCTCTGTGGTTTCGCTGGCTTCAGATGTGAACGCAACCAGGCCACCAAACTCTTCAACATCTCAGGCAATGTGAACACTCCCTGTACCGTGGAGGAGTCCAAGTCTACTCCCCTCAAGTTCTTCATTGAGAAGCACGCTGGTGGTGTAGAGGGGGGTTGGAATGATTTCTTAACTGTCAACCCAGGGGGTTCATCTACTTCTATGATCCCTAAAGAGTGAGTATTAATGCCCCTCTGCACTAGATCGGGCGAGGAGGGATTAGAGGGATTAGTGTGGTCACTGACAGGTGGTTATCTTGTGCCAATATCTATCATGGTGCAGTTAAAGGAAGTTGAGAGAAAATTGTATTTCAAATATTTTGCTGTTCTTCAGAACAACTTGTTATTGCAAATTGAATTTACTTTTAGATCATACACATACATGGTTGTAGAAAATGAAAGCAAAAATGAAATGCAAAAAAATAATGAAGTGAAAATTCATAGCACACACCTTTTTTTCTTTTCTTCTACTGCAGGTTCCTCATTTTACATCTTTGGTAGATGGATGGCTCTTTGCACTTTGACCAATGAGCTTATCTGTATTTCATCCATCAAGCACCGGTGATTTGATATTATCTCCAGCAATGGACATGATTGGAATAAAACAACCTTACACAACTGATAATGGCACTGTGACTAATTTATTTGTATGCATTCTTTTCTGTAATACTTGTTATAAGTAAGTTAAATTTGCATGATTTAAAAACCGCTAAAAGGTATACAATATTGACTATCCCTTTTGTGGTTTAGATATTTGATTAGGACCATAATTATGCACATGAAAAGTTACATCCTAGTAATTTGTCAAAAGACATATGGGAATCTCAAATTGGCAAATTAGCCATTCAACTGTGATGTAATTGCAGTATTTTTTTCATTTGTTGGAGACTAAATATCATTATTATTGCTTTTATTAAAATTATTATTATTGTGGTAATTGTTTATTTCTATTTTTGTAGTAATTGTGATATGGAAATGAGAAAAATATTTATAAAAGAATAGAAGTAGTAGAATGGCATGGAAATGAGAGAAACATTTATGAAAGAAAGATGTGAATATGAAAAAGAAAGAATATTTAAATGGAATTATATAGAAAAGAAGATAGATGACGGAATGAGAGGGAAAATAACGAGAGTAAATGAGCGATAGAGTGTGTATGTGGAGGGGGAAGGGATGACAATGGCAATTTAAACGGGATAACCTCGCTATCAATAAGGATCATTATTCATCAATGTCATTATTCATAATGCACTTCTACCATATACTAGCAAACTGCTATTCATATCATACAAATAGGTTGCTATTTAGAATATACATAAGGACCACTATCCACAAGGGTCACTATTCGGGAAAGGGACATAACAATGACTATTCATAGTTTAGATTAAAAAACAATATTCATAAGGGTCACCGTTAGTCACTATTCATAATATACAAACCCCTTTGCTGAATTATGAGCATCAAAACCCTCTTTTTTTGTTTATATGATGACAACAAAAATAACATCCTGAAAGATACTGAAACATAGACATATATATAGAAAAAGATAGAAAGACAAAATCGCAAGGATGAAAGCAAAAAATAGTATGAGCAAATATAATAATAAGAAATGATATGATAGGAAAACATAGGCCCTAATGATAATGAAATATTAAAATAAACAAGATAAATTGATCGATTAAACCAAACAATACCATTAGAAAGGTAGTAAGAGAAAACAAACCTTGAAACACTAAACAGATTGAGTAAATAATGACATGAAGAAAGATGGCAATACAACGCTCTTATTGGAAAATGAATGGGAGCTGTGAGTGATATCTTTGTTACATGTAGGCCTATGTTACTATTGATACGCGACAACACACATCTTTATACACAATGCACAACGGCTCGAAACGGACAAAATGGCGCCTGGATGGACGGGTGTGCATGAGTGATTCCGGAGAACGAAGATTACAGTGACCTGGATGGGATGGTAGTGGCTATGCCTACGGAGTTTGAAAGAAATTGGGATAGGGGAAAGAACCTAGAGAGGGCTCGCAAGCACTGCGTGCAAAAACCAATGGGATTTGGTGCATGTTCGTCATTGCAATCAAGATCGTTCTGGGGGCCAAAAGCCTGAACCCGATATGCCCCATAGACAATGCGTGTAATGCATGGGCGGAAAACGTACAGGATCTGTATTATGACCGGAGTTAAATTGTTTTTTCTCTCTCTCTTTATGTCTCTTTATGGGCCGTATTTGGTATCATTAGAAAGAAAATTTCATGGTTGTTATTGCAAACCACTCTTTTTTTTTCTATGATAATCCTATCGAAACACATGATGTAAAATAGATTTATAGGACAAAATGGCGTCTTAAATGGCCCCCTTGACCAATTTTAAAAATCCGGCCAAGAGGTGCCCTGCGTATTGGAACTCGGCATGTCACTGCAAATTTTCAAGGAAAAAAAAGGACGTTTAAGGGGCGAAAAGCAGTCTGAAAAAATGACGTCATAGCCGATACGTGTTAGATTCGGGCGGAAACTCGGCGGAATTCGTGTAGTGATCTTTGTTCAAATGCGATTTATTCACAATTTTCTGTGTGAACATATACTATACTTGGTATCATTCGAAAGGGCACTTCATTGCGGTCAGTTTGACACCATTGTTATCTTCGCGCAATGTATTGCACGCATTTAACGCGCTATCACGCAATGCATAGTAAATACATCATTTTTTGAGATAACTTTGCGCTGACATAATCAAATTTTACCAAACTTTGCGGACAGTTGTCACGTATATAAATACATGTGTGTGCCAAGTTTTATTGACGTAGGTCAAAGGATCGTAATTTTAGAGCAAGTTGAAGTTATTTTGGAATTTTCTTGAAAATGGCGAATTTGGAGGGCAATTTTCTCAAATTTGGTCAGTGATAGGGTATATAATTTTGTATATGGCTGGAAAGGGCATATCTTCAAGTATCTAAATCCAAAAAAGGGTACGGGTTTGCCAAGCCATTATGGAGATACGGCCACAGAGAGAAAGCCAATTCCCAGAACTTTAGAGGGCGCTATTTATGTTGTGCAAAGTCATCGGAGCGTGAAATTTGGCATGGCTATGTGCAATTATGAGATAAGGATACTGTGAGACTTAAATACAAAACGGAATTTATATGAGAAAGTTATGGCAGTTTTAGATTATTTAGGTGTCAATTTTTCAAGAATTTGAGAGATAGTTGACGGAGTCGGTTTCAGATTTGAATTTTGAGTATGAAGATGGCATTTTGAAGGGCAGGTTATACGTCGCAGATAAAAGAACATCTCTTGGACTATCTAGAGGAATTTGTTAGAAATGTGTAGGATCTAGGATAGTGGAGATAGGAAGGAAGAAAGAAAGGCCTTAAAATGGACCAGAAACGGACAAAATGGCGCCTGGACGGTTATGCATGAGTGATTTCGAAAATCGAAGAATGTAGTGACCTTGAAGGGATGTTAGAGACTATGCCTATGAAATGTGAAAGGAAAAGGACATGAGAAAAGCACCTAACTAGGAATAACAAACATTACGTGCAAAACGAATGCGATTTCCTGACGATAAGGAAAAGGAAAAGGAGGAAAAGGAGAATATTAATGGGGCAGAATGTGAACGAAAACAAGGCAATGACGAAGGTCGTCATTGCAATAAAGTTGATTTCATTGCCAAGACAATGATACGAAAATGATTATTTACTTGATTTCATTGCCGACAGAATGATACAAAAATAATTACTTAGTTATTTTTTTGCCGACAGAATCAAAAATGATTAATTACTTGATGTCATTGTCGAGAGAATGATACAAAAATTATTATTTACTTGATTTCCTTGACGACAAAATGATTAATTAGTTGATTTCATTGGCTAGACATTGATACGAAAATGAATGTTTACTTGATTCCATTGCCGACAGAATGATACGAAAGTGATTAATTAAATGATGTCAATGCCGACAGAATGATACGAAAATGATTATTTAATTGATGTCATTGCCGACAGAATGATACGAAAATGATTACTTAGTTGATTTCATTGGCGACAGAATGATACGAAAATGATTACTTAGTTGATTTCATTGGCTAGACATTGATACGAAAATTATTATTTTCTTGATTCCTCAAAACATAAATAAAAATGTGTGTGTTATTGTGAGTGAGTCATGTATGGGGATTTCTATTTTTTGATCTGTATGAATGGACATTGCCGATTGACTGACTTGATTCCACAAGTTCGGACGTACTGCACATGATGGTCGTTCACCAGACTAGAAAGGGAAAGGTAGCGCGTACATCTACATATGCTTAGCCAACCAGGCATTGTTTGTAATTAGCTGAAAAAAATGTTCTTTGATAATGAGAAATAACGAGTTTGGGTTGGATTTCACAATACCATCATTATTTCAGAATAATTGTTGAATATTTGAATAACGAAGAGCCTTTATTTCAAGAGGTAAAAGCAGCCACAAATACATTGAACATTATAATGGTCTGATAAACTTAAACTACCCCAGCGTGTAACCTAGTAACCCGAAGACAAAACAAAAGCAAGCAAGTTCATTCATCGATACGCGAGGCACGCAAGTTTGATAATTACATAGGACATGAGTTGTCAAAATATTCCCATACCGCTTTGCTCATTCTGGTTTGAAAATACAAACGACCCAACTAAGAATAAACAAGCAGCTGCAGATTTTTAAGCTACAGATTGATAAAGTATTGCATACTTACCTGATTCTATGACGGGATCCCACTTTTAGAATATCCATGTTTAACGATAAATCCGAAAATCAGATGAAAGTTATCCGAAAGATTAATTCCCTTACACACGTCGTTGGAACCATCAATGGTATAGAAGCTATAAGTCTAGTTTCGGACACAAGAATTCCATTTTAAAACCACTACAACAACGATTCGTACAATCTCGTTCTATCTCGAAATGCTGATTTTCAGATGACAAGTTAGCTCTTCTCATTGGCTAAATAATAATTTGCAAGTTTATTTTTTAAAGCAAATATTTGCTTGTTTTCAGTTGTCATTTATGGTATGACGTCTGAATTGGCAGACTATACAAGCCCTTTCAGTTTCAGCTGGCTGGGGCGTGTCATATTTCTTAGATAAGAACTGTCAAAACATGTCTGGGAAATGTAATCACGTAAAGGAGGGAGAGAGAAGGAGAGAGAGAGAGAGAGAGAGGGAGAGGGCAGAGAGGGAAGTAGAAAGACGGGGTAAGGTAGAGGTGTGGAGGACAGTGACCTCATGTCATTTACTTGTTAATCAATCAATGTCTGACGGGACTTGTAAACATCCATGAAGGGTGATGTCTTCAGATGACCAATCAAAGAATAAAGGATAAAAGGGAAGGGAAATACATGTAGATATTAAAGATTAAATGATATCAGAGATAGGAAATATATGGAACGAAGAGGCGACTGTAACGGAATAAAGTATACAAGGAAATATTTAAATAGATGGGAAGAATCAGAAACTGGATAAGAATAAAGGATTCGTGGGAGAGGAAATCTACATGGGAGGAAGAGGAGACTTGATATAAATAAAAGGGTAATAGGACGAACACCCCCGGCCAAGGCAGTTATCCCCTCCCCCTCGGAA